TTCCAGAGAACAACATAGAGCACATAGAGGTGTCTAGAGACGAAGTGGAAAAAATGCTCAAGGAGCTAAATAAGAACAAAGCAGTTGGTCCAGATGGAGTTTCACCATGGGTTCTGAGAGAATGTGCACCTGAGCTCAGCATTCCTCTTCAACTGATTTTTCAGGCATCCCTGTTTACAGGAGTTGTAGCTGATGTGTGGAAAAAGGCTAACAGTTCCAATCTACAAAAGTGGAAGCAGGGAAGACCCCCTTAATTATAGACCGGTATCATTGACAAGTGTAATGGTCAAAATATTGGAAAAAATAATTAAAACTAAATGGGTAGAACACCTGGAGAGAAATTATATAATATCAGACAGACAGTATGGTTTTCGATCTGGAAGATCCTGTGTATCGAATTTACTCAGTTTCTATGATCGAGTAACAGAGATATTACAGGAAAGAGATGGTTGGATTGACTGCATCTATCTGGACCTAAAAAAGGCTTTCGACAGAGTTCCACATAAGAGGTTGTTCTGGAAACTGGAAAATATTGAAGGGGTGACAGGTAAGCTTCTAACATGGATGAAAAATTTTCTTACTGATAGAAAAATGAGGGTAGTAATCAGAGACAAGGTATCGGACTGGAGAAATGTCACAAGTGGAGTACCACAGGGTTCAGTTCTTGCACCAGTGATGTTTATTGTCTACATAAATGATCTACCAGTTTGTATACAGAATTATATGAACATGTTTGCTGATGATGCTAAGATAATAGGAAGGATAAGAAACTTAGATGATTGTCATGCCCTTCAAGATGACCTGGACAAAATAAGTATCTGGAGCACCACTTGGCAAATGGAATTTAATGTTAATAAATGCCATGTTATGGAATGTGGAATAGAACATAGACTCCACACAACCTATATATTATGTGAGAAATCTTAAAAGAATTCTGATAAAGAAAGAGATCTAGGAGTGGTTCTAGATAGAAAAGTATCACCTGAGGACCACATAAAGAATATTGTGCGAGGAGCCTATGCCACGCTTTCTAACTTCAGAATTGCTTTTAAATACATGGATGGCGATATACTAAAGAAATTGTTCACAACTTTTGTTAGGCCAAAGCTAGAATATGCAGCGGTTGTGTGGTGCCCATATCTTAAGAAGCACATCAACAAACTGGAAAAGGTGCAAAGACATGCTACTAAGTGACTCCCAGAACTGAAGGGCAAGAGCTACGAGGAGAGGTTAGAGGCATTAAATATGCCAAAACTAGAAGACAAGAAAAAGAGGTGATATGATCACTACATACAAAATAGTAACAGGAATTGATAAAATCGATAGGGAAGATTTCCTGAGACCTGGAACTTTAAGAACAAAAGGTCATAGATATAAACTAGCTAAACACAGATGCCGAAGAAATATAAGAAAGTTCACTTTCGCAAACAGAGTGGTAGACGGATGGAACAAGTTAGGTGAGAAGGTGGTGGAGGCCAAGACCGTCAGTAGTTTCAAAGCGTTATATGACAAAGAGTCCTGGGAAGACGGGACACCACGAGCGTAGCTCTCAATCCTGTAACTACACTTAGGTAATTACTTGAAACTGTTTATGGAGTCAGCCTGCACCACATCACTTCCTAATGCATCCCATTTGTCAACCACTCTGACACTAAAAAAGTTCTTTCTAACATCTCTGTGGCTCATTTGGGCACTCAGTTTTCACCTGTGTCCCCTTGTGCGTGTGCCCCTTGTGTTAAATAGCCTGTCTTTATCTACCCTATCAATTCCCTTTAGAATCTTGAATGCGGTGATCATGTCCCCCCTAACTCTTCTGTCTTCCAGCGAAGTGAGGTTTAATTCCCGTAGTCTCTCCTGTATCTCATACCTCTCAGCTTGGGTACTACTCTAGTGGCAAACCTTTGCACCTTTTCCAGTTTAGTCTTATCCTTGACTAGATATGGACTCCATGCTGGGGCTGCATACTCCAGGATTGGCCTGACATATGTGGTATACAAAGTTCTGAATGATTCTTTACACAAGTTTCTGAATGCCGTTCGTATGTTGGCCAGCCTGGCATATGCCGCTGATGTTATCCTCTTGATATGTGCTGCAGGAGACAGGTCTGGCGTGATATCAACCCCCAAGTCTTTTTCTTTCTCCGACTCCTGAAGAAGTTCCTCTCCCAGATGATACCTTGTATATGGCCTCCTGCTCCCTACACCTATCTTCATTACATTACATTTGGTTGGGTTAAACTCTAACAACCATTTGTTCGACCATTCCTTCAGCTTGTCTAGGTCTTCTTGAAGCCTCAAGCAGTCCTCTTCTGTCTTAATCCTTCTCATAATTTTGGCATCGCCCACAAACATTGAGAAAAATGAATCTATACCCTCCGGGAGATCATTTACATATATCAGAAACAAGATAGGACCGAGTACAGAGCCCTGTGAGACTCCACTGGTGACTTCACGCCAATCGGAGGTCTCACCCCTCACTGTAACTCTCTGCTTCCTATTGCTTAGGTACTCCCTTATCCACTGGAGCACCTTACCAGCTACACCTGCCTGTCTCTCCAGCTTATGTACCAGCCTCTTGTGCGGTACTGTGTCAAAGGCTTTCAGACAATCCAAGAAAATGCAGTCCGCCCAGCCCTCTCTTTCTTGCTTAATCTTTGTCACCTGGTCGTAGAATTCTATTAAGCCAGTCAGGCAAGATTTACCCTCCCTGAACCCATGTTGGCGATTTGTCACGAAGTCCCTTCTCTCCAGATGTGTTACCAGGTTTTTTCTCATGATCTTCTCCATCACCTTGCATGGTGTACAAGTCAAGGACACTGGCCTGTAGTTCAGTGCCTCTTGCCTGTCGCCCTTTTTGTACATTGGGACCACATTCGCCGTCTTCCATATTTCTGGTAGGTCTCCCGTCTCCAGTGACCTACTATACACTATGGAGAGTGGCAAGCAAAGTGCCTCTGCACACTCTTTCAGTACCCATGGTGAAATCCTGTCTGGACCAACAGCCTTTCTAACATCCAGATCCAGTAGGTGTCTCTTGACCTCCTCTTTCGTAATTTCGAACTCTTCCAAGGCCGCCTGGTTTACCTCCCTTTCTCCTAGCACAGTGACCTCACCTTGTTCTATTGTGAAGACCTCCTGGAACATCTTGTTGAGTTCTTCACACACCTCTTTGTCATTCTCTGTATACCTGTCTTCGCCTGTTCTAAGTTTCAATACCTGTTCTTTCACTGTTGTTTTCCTTCTGATATGACTGTGGAGTAGCTTTGGTTCGGTCTTGGCTTTGTTTGCTATATCATTTTCAAAACTTTTCTCTGCTTCTCTTCTCACCCTGACGTACTCATTCCTGGTTCTCTGGTATCTCTCTCTGCTTTCTGGTGTTCTGTTATTCCGGAAGTTCCTCCACGCCCTTTTGTTCAGTTTCTTCGCTTCCATACATGCCCTATTATACCATGGATTCTTCTGTTGCTTCTCGAATTTTTCCCTTTGGGCCGGGATGAACCTGTTTACTGCCTCGACCTGACACTTTTGAGTAACATAGTCCATCATACCCTGTACAGACTTATCTCTGAGGTCTGTGTCCCAAGGTATTTCCCTTAGGAAACTTCTCATCTGTGCATAATTCCCCTTTCGGTATGCCAGCCTTTTGATTCCTAGTTCTTTTTTGGGGGAGATAATTCCTAGCTCTACCAGGTACTCAAAGTACCGTATGTATATGTACATGTATGCATGAGTATATGTACATGTATATATAACATTAATAATTTTGTAACTAGCGTCATAAGATTGTCATTTGCTTAGGTAAACGAACTAGAGGGTTCAGTTCCTGAACCGATTATGTGCCTCTGTAATCCTTTACACCATCGTCCACGGGATGGGTATGGGAGGGGGGTAGAAATAGCCTAAGCTACTCTATCCCTTTGAGATGTATTTCTTGCTTATCTCAATAAAAATACTTGAACTTGAACTTGATATGGGGGTGCATAATAAAAAAAGAAATTGAATCCCCCCCCCATTTACCCTGAGGATCATTTCCAGTTATATTTTAAAACTCAAAGAGATTTGGTATTAACGATTTCGGCGGGTAGGATTATCATTATTTTGGAGAAAAGGTACACTATTATGTACCTAAGTTCAAAATATAAAACAAAGATTATGTTAACATCATCTTTTTTGGCAGTGAATTTAAGTGGAACCCTTGACAGCCGATTGGATAAGTTTATGTGGGATGATTCATTAAGATAAGGATCATGAATGTAATGCTTGCATTAACATGAGCCATACAGGCAAACACTCATATATTACATACTGATTTCATTATAAACATGAAAAAACTTATTTGTATCATAGTGCAATATTGAATATAAGTTTCAATGTTATTAGATAAACAATAATTTGTATAATTTATACTAGATAGTTATATGCAATGTTAAGGATAAGAAATCACATAACATAATTTATTGTTTAGTAAAAACTGTAATATTATAGGTCTATCTGTAGCGTAAATGTTTTGAAGTTGGCCAAGTCTCGTTGGTTTTTTTTTTACATATATGAGAGATGGTGATGGTTGTGGCCGGGCGCGGCAGCACCGTCGACAGGTGGGCGCGCGGCCACACCACCACCCTGGCTGGCACCACCTCCCACTTCTCTAAACTTCCTGCCTTTCCTCCTTATAATATTTTCGATACCGCCTGGCTAATCAAGTTACGTTGAGTAACCGAGTCACGCGGTGTCCAAGGCATAACATGTCCTTCTCTCCGTAATGGAGAAAAATGTACCTGGAAACAAGGAGCATTTGTGACGCATCCTGGTCTTCCCGCCACACTTTGGGGCCGAGATGCAGCACACTGGTGCCACCACCCGCCGCCTCTCACCTCACATACATCACCCCCCATGAATAAACTCTCCTCAACGCTGTAGAACTGTATGATATAGGTGTGTGAGTAAGGGTTGGGGCGTGTGGGTGAGCGTGTGGGCGGGGTGGGCGGCGTGTGGGCGGGGACGGGGTGGGCGGCGTGGCAACAGGGCGCACCGTGCGCGTCGTTGAGAGGTCCCCGTGCAAAAGTAATCACGTTGCTCGTTCGCCATTTGCAGTAACCGGCCCTTGTGTATGTGTTGTATTATACGTACAGACTAAATTATAAATCATCGGGAAAAGTTAGTAAGTTGACAGTTCATCAGTTGTGTAGCTTTATGCCAGTAGGTCGCTCTCGGTAGAAAAATAAGCCATTCAAGTGAAGGGTGGGTAAAAGGCGAGGTAAATACCAGGGTGGTGTGGAAGGGCGACGGAGCCGAGCCTTGCGAGGTTTATATGGTGGAAAAGAAGGTGTTGGCGGGAGCGGTATGGGCGGGCGTGGAGGAGGGCGCCGGAGTGAGGCGTGTGAGCCGGGTGGTAGGAGCCTCCTGCAGACATGTGCAGAAGTAGGCGTTGTCGCTGCCACTGTTTTGGCGGGAGAGGCTCCCTCCTCCCGTCACCAGCTGCTGGAGCATGTGGCCTCTCTCCTCTCCCACTCCTCTTCCAGCAGTCCTCGCCCTCCCTGGCTCTCCTCTCCTCTCCTCTCCCCGCCTCCACTCCTCGCCCCACTCCTGCCTCGCCTCCACTAATAAACCTCTCACCCTTTGACACATTGACACACTTCCCGACTGTCAACACCTTACACCCACTTGGTTAAGTGTCACTTAAGTGCTTATTATTGCATTAAGCACAATATTGTACGTTGATGAAATTGACTAAGCATATGTAATATATAATTTATGTCGTGTGAGTGTTATGACAACAGCCTGGAAAATGTTTTCAATTACTGTTTACATATGCACTAAATGGCACTGAATGTCACTATTTACATTCTATGGGGGATAAAAGTGCTGAGAAATTGTTACACTAAATCCCTAGTAAAGTGTCTACTCCTTACTAAGTTCCACTCTAACTAACTCTTACTATTTACAACCCTCACAACTCTTCATAATTATAATGTATAAAACACTGGAGCTGTTTTCCATAATTTGCACAAAACAATAACTCAATATAACAAGTTGTTTACATTCTATGCAGCTTGGAGTGAACCCCATACTTAAGGAGTTGAAGCAGTTTTAATGGCGTGAAGCAAGAATGTGTACACAAGTGACCTGGGCCACTGGCAGGTGTACACAAGGTGACCTGGGCCACTGGCAGGTGTACACATGGTGACCTGGGCCACTGGCAGGTGTACACAAGGTGACCTGGGCCACTGGCAGGTGTACACAAGTGACCTGGGCCACTGGCAGGTGTACACAAGTGACCTGGGCCACTGGCAGGTGTACACAAGTGACCTGGGCCACTGGCAGGTGTACACAAGGTGACCTGGGCCACTGGCAGGTGTACACAAGGTGACCTGGGCCACTGGCAGGTGTACACAAGGTGACCTGGGCCACTGGCAGGTGTACACAAGGTAACCTGGACCACTGGCAGGTGTACACAAGGTGACCTGGGCCACTGGCAGGTGTACACAAGTGACCTGGGCCACTGGCAGGTGTACACAAGTGACCTGGGCCACTGGCAGGTGTACACAAGGTAACCTGGGTCACTGGCAGGTGTACACAAGTGACCTGGGCCACTGGCAGGTGTACACATGTGACCTGGGCCACTGGCAGGTGTACACAATGTGACCTGGGCCACTGGCAGGTGTACACAAGGTGACCTGGGCCACTGGCAGGTGTACACAAGGTGACCTGGGCCACTGGCAGGTGTACACAAGGTAACCTGGGTCACTGGCAGGTGTACACAAGTGACCTGGGCCACTGGCAGGTGTACACAAGGTGACCTGGGCCACTGGCAGGTGTACACAAGTGACCTGGGCCACTGGCAGGTGTACACAAGGTAACCTGGGTCACTGGCAGGTGTACACAAGTGACCTGGGCCACTGGCAGGTGTACACAAGGTGACCTGGGCCACTGGCAGGTGTACACAAGTGACCTGGGCCACTGGCAGGTGTACACAAGGTAACTTGGGCCACTGACAGGTGTACACAAGTGACCTGGGCCACTGGCAGGTGTACACAAGGTGACCTGGGCCACTGGCAGGTGTACACAAGGTGACCTGGGCCACTGGCAGGTGTACACAAGGTGACCTGGACCACTGGCAGGTGTACACAAGGTAACCTGGACCACTGGCAGGTGTACACAAGGTGACCTGGGCCACTGGCAGGTGTACACAAGGTGACCTGGGTCACTGGCAGGTGTACACAAGGTGACCTGGGCCACTGGCAGGTGTACACAAGTGACCTGGGCCACTGGCAGGTGTACACAAGTGACCTGGGCCACTGGCAGGTGTACACAAGGTGACCTAGGCCACTGGCAGGTGTACACAAGGTGACCTGGGCCACTGGCATGTGTACACAAGGTGACCTGGGCCACTGGCAGGTGTATACAAGTGACCTGGGCCACTGGCAGGTGTACACAAGGTGACCTGGGCCACTGGCAGGTGTACACAAGTGACCTGGGCCACTGGCAGGTGTACATAAGGTAACCTGTGCCACTGGCAGATGTATACAAGTGACCTGGGCCATTGGCAGGTGTACACAAGTGACCTGGGCCACTGGCAGGTGTACACAAGGTAACCTGGGCCACTTGCAGGTGTACACAAGGTAACTTGGGCCACTGGCAGGTGTACACAAGTGACCTGGGCCACTGGCAGGTGTACACAAGTGACCTGGGCCACTGGCAGGTGTACACAAGGTGACCTGGGCCACTGGCAGGTGTACACAAGTGACCTGGGCCACTGGCAGGTGTACACAAGGTGACCTGGGCCACTGGCAGGTGTACACAAGTGACCTGGGCCACTGGCAGGTGTACACAAGTGACCTGGGCCACTGACAGGTGTACACAAGGTGACCTGGGCCACTGGCAGGTGTACACAAGTGACCTGGGCCACTGGCAGGTGTACACAAGGTGACCTGGGCCACTGGCAGGTGTACACAAGGTGACCTGGGTCACTGGCAGGTGTACACAAGGTGACCTGGGCCACTGGCAGGTGTACACAAGGTGACCTGGGCCACTGGCAGGTGTACACAAGTGACCTGGGCCACTGGCAGGTGTACACAAGGTGACCTGGGCCACTGGCAGGTGTACACAAGGTGACCTGGGCCACTGGCAGGTGTACACAAGGTGACCTGGACCACTGGCAGGTGTACACAAGGTAACCTGGACCACTGGCAGGTGTACACAAGGTGACCTGGGCCACTGGCAGGTGTACACAAGGTGACCGGGGACACTGGCAGGTGTACACAAGGTGACCTGGGCCACTGGCAGGTGTACACAAGTGACCTGGGCCACTGGCTGGTGTACACAAGTGACCTGGGCCACTGGCAGGTGTACACAAGGTGACCTGGGCCACTGGCAGGTGTACACAAGGTGACCTGGGCCACTGGCATGTGTACACAAGGTGACCTGGGCCACTGGCAGGTGTATACAAGTGACCTGGGCCACTGGCAGGTGTACACAAGGTGACCTGGGCCACTGGCAGGTGTACACAAGTGACCTGGGCCACTGGCAGGTGTACATAAGGTAACCTGTGCCACTGGCAGGTGTATACAAGTGACCTGGGCCACTGGCAGGTGTACACAAGTGACCTGGGCCACTGGCAGGTGTACACAAGGTAACCTGGGCCACTTGCAGGTATACACAAGGTAACTTGGGCCACTGGCAGGTGTACACAAGTGACCTGGGCCACTGGCAGGTGTACACAAGTGACCTGGGCCACTGGCAGGTGTACACAAGGTGACCTGGGCCACTGGCAGGTGTACACAAGTGACCTGGGCCACTGGCAGGTGTACACAAGGTGACCTGGGCCACTGGCAGGTGTACACAAGTGACCTGGGCCACTGGCAGGTGTACACAAGTGACCTGGGCCACTGACAGGTGTACACAAGGTGACCTGGGCCACTGGCAGGTGTACACAAGTTACCTGGGCCACTGGCAGGTGTACACAAGGTGACCTGGGCCACTGGCAGGTGTACACAAGGTGACCTGGGTCACTGGCAGGTGTACACAAGGTGACCTGGGCCACTGGCAGGTGTACACAAGTGACCTGGGCCACTGGCAGGTGTACACAAGTGACCTGGGCCACTGGCAGGTGTACACAAGGTGACCTGGGTCACTGGCAGGTGTACACAAGTGACCTGGGCCACTGGCAGGTGTACACAAGGTGACCTAGGCCACTGGCAGGTGTACACAAGATAACTTGGGCCACTGGCAGGTGTACACAAGTGACCTGGGCCTCTGGCAGGTGTACACAAGGTGACCTGGGCCACTGGCAGGTGTACACAAGGTAACTTGGACCTCTGGCAGGTGTACACAAGGTGACCTGGGCCTCTGGCAGGTGTACACAAGGTGACCTGGGCCACTGACAAGTGTACACAAGGTAACCTGGGCCACTGGCAGGTGTACACAAGTGACCTGGGCCACTGGCAGGTGTACACAAGGTGACCTGGGCCACTGGCAGGTGTACACAAGGTGACCTGGGCCACTGGCAGGTGTACACAAGGTGACCTGGGCCACTGGCAGGTGTACACAAGGTGACCTGGGCCACTGACAAGTGTACACAAGGTGACCTGGGCCACTGGCAGTTGTACACAAGGTGACCTGGGCCACTGGCAGGTGTACACAAGGTAACCTGGGCCACTGGCAGGTGTACACAAGTGACCTGGGCCACTGGCAGGTGTACACAAGTTGACCTGGGCCACTGGCAGGGGTACACAAGGTAACCTGGGCCACTGGCAGGTGTACACAAGTAACCTGGGCCACTGGCAGGTGTACACAAGTGACCTGGACCACTGGCAGGTGTACACAAGGTGACCTGGGCCACTGGCAGGTGTACACAAGGTAACCTGTGCCACTGGCAGGTGTACACAAGGTAACCTGTGCCATTGTCGTGTACACGAGGTAACCTGGGCCACTGGCAGATGTACACAAAGTAACCTGGGCCACTGGCAGGTGTACACAACGTAACCTGGGCCACTGGCAGGTGTACACAAGATGACCTGGGCCACTGGCAGGTGTACATGAGGTAACAAGTAATTACCTAAGTGTATTTACAGGATAAAAGATACGATCGTGGTGTCCCATCTTTCCAGTACTCATTGTCACATAATGCTTTTAAATTACTGACAATTTTGGCCTCCACCA